GTGCTCACCCGACAATGCAGCATAAGCAGAAAAAGGGAGGACTCCAAGTAGCTCGGTGACTTCGTGACCAGCTGTCCCCTGCAGGAGTGCTCCCGGGTCCTCACACCCAGGGCAGTCTGCAGAGGGGTACCTTTTGTGGTTCCCTCCCCTTAGGTGGCTCTTTTCCCCCCGGGGGCCACTCCCAGGGGTGAGGGAGTTACCTCTTCCCAGTGTACACCCTAAATCTACCCCAAAGTATTAAAAGTAGATTTCTAATTTTATTTTTAAAAGAGGAGTTATAAATTAATGGATGAAATTTTTTTTTTTTTTTTTGACAGGCAGAGTGGACAGTGAGAGAGAGAGACAGAGAGAAAGGTCTTCCTTTTCCGTTGGTTTACCCTCCAATGGCCGCCGCGGCCGGCGCACCGCGCTGATCCGATGGCAGGAGCCAGGAGCCAGGTGCTTTTCCTGGTCCCCCATGGGGTGCAGGGCCCAAGCACCTGGGCCATCCTCCACTGCACTCCCTGGCCACAGCAGAGAGCTGGCCTGGAAGAGGGGTAACCGGGACAGAATCCGGCGCCCCGACTGGGACTAGAACCCAGTGTGCCGGCGCTGCTAGGCGGAGTATTAGCCTAGTGAGCCGCGGCGCCGGCAATGGATGAATATTAAACATGTACGCACACACGCACATACACACACTCTCAGCAGAAAAAGAATGAAAGAAATGCAAGGGTCCCAAAACAATCTTGAAGGAGAACAAAGGAGAAAAACAAAACTTACTACAAAGCTACAGCAATCACGATAGTGTGGTACTGGAATAAGAAAATATATAGAGGGGCCAGCCCTGTGGTGCAGCAGGTTGGCGCCTTGCCTGAAGCACCGGCATCCCATATGGGCGCCGGTTCTAGTTCCGGCTGCTCCTCTTCCAATCCAGCTCTCTGCTATGACCTGGGAAAGCAATATAAGATGGCCCAAATCCTTGGGCCCCTGCACCCACATGGGAGACATGGAGGGAGCTCCTGGCTCCTGGCTTTGGATGGGTACAGCTCCAGCTGTTGCGGCCAATTGGGGAGTGAACCATCAGATGGAAGACCTCTCTCTCTTTCTCTCTCTCTCTCTCTGCGTAACCCTGACTTTGAATAAATAAATAAATCTTTAGAAAAAAAAAGAAAATATATAGAGATCAATGGAGAAGAAATAGAGTCCAGAAATAAACTTTTACATTTACCGTCAACTGATTTTTGACAAAGATGCCAAGAAAATTCAGTGGGATAAGGAGAGTCCTTCATTAAATGGTGCTAGGGAAACTGGATTGAAAAATAATAATTATCTGGGGCTGATGCTATGGCATAGTAGGTTAAGTCTCTGCCTGCAGTGCCAGCATCCCATATGGGTGACGGTTCAAGTCCCAATTGCTCCACTTACAATCCAGCTCTCTGCTATGGCCTGGCAAAGCAGTAGAAGATGGCCCACGTCCTTGGGCCCCTACAACCATGTGGGAGACCTGAAGAAACACCTGGCTCCTGCCTTAGGATTGGCCCAGCTCTGGACATTGCAGCTATTTGGGGAGTTTGTGTGTAACTCTACCTCTCAAATAAATAAATAAAATCCTTTAAAAAAATAATAATAATCTGAATTTGTACTTCATACTCTGCTCAAATGTAAGAGCTAATGCTAATAAGTCTTAGGAAAAAAAAAACATAAAAACATCTTGGGTTAAGAACAGTTTCTTAGATACAACATCAGAAACACAGTGGTCAAAGAAAACAATAAACTGGACTTGATGAAAACTAAAATTTTTAGTCCTTCAAGAAATACCAGGATGGGCACCGTGGCTCAGTGGTTTAAGCTGCTGCTTAAGATCCCACATCCCATATGAGAGTGCCAATTTGCAGCCTGCACCTCTACTTCCAATCCAGCTCTCTGCTAATGTACACCTGGGAGGCAGCAGGTTTTGGCTCACATACTTGGGCTCCTGTCTCCCATGTGGGAGACCCAGATGGAGTTCCTGGCTAATGGATTCACCCTGGCCTGGCAGCTGTTGGGGGCATTTGGGGAGTGAACCAGTACATGGAAGATCTTTTTCCTTCCCTCCCTCTTGCTTCCTGTCACTTTGCCTAACAAATAAATATAAACAGATTTAAAAAATACTATGAAGAAGGTAAAAAGACAACTCAGAAAATGGAAGAAAATATTTACATATCATACATCTGATATGGGACTGGGGTATCTAAAACACAGAGAACTCTTACAACTCAGTAAGAAGGCCAGCGCCATGGCTCACTTGGCTAATCCTCCACCTGCGGCGCCAGCACCCCGGGTTCTAGTCCCGGTTAGGGCCCAGATTTTGTCCCGGTTGCTCCTCTTCCAGTCCAGCTCTTTGATGTGGCCCGGGAAGATAGTGGAGTATGGCCCAGGTCCTTGGGCCCTGCACCCGCATGGGAGACCAAGAGGAAGCACCTGATTCCTGGCTTCAGATTGGCGCAGTGCGCCAGGTGTACCAGCCATTTGGGGGGTGAACCAACGGACAAAGAAGACCTTTCTCTCTCTCTCTCTAACTCTGCTTGTCAAAAAACAAACAAACAAACAAAAAAACCACCTCAGTAAGAAGATAAAAAACCTTTTTCAAAAAGCATCAAAGGGGCCAGCACTGTGGCGGAGTGGGTAAAGCTGCGGCATGCAGTGCCGCCATCTCATATGGGTACCAGTTTGAGTCCCGGTTGTTCCACTTCTGATCCAGCTTCCTACTAATGCACATGGGAAAGCAGTAGAAGACTGCTCAAGTCCTTGGGGCCCTTCACCCTCATGGGAGACTTGGAAAAGGCTCCTGGCTCCTGGCTTCTGATCGCCCAGCTCTGGCTGTTACAGGTATTTGGGGAGTGAACCAGCAGATAGAAGACCTCTCTCTCTCTCTCTGTACCTCTGCCTCTCTGTAACTCCGCCTTTCAAATAAAAACAAATAAATGAATGAATAAATCTTTTTTTTAAAAAAATTCCACAAAGAAGACATACAAATGGAAAAAAGCACATGAAAAGATGCTCAGTGTCATCAAAGACAGAAACAAGCATCAGTGAGAGTGCGGAAGAACTGGAACCCTCATCCACTGCAGGGGAGCATGAACCTGCTCTGGAAATCACACTGGTGCGTCTCAGAAGGTTAAACCCAGAGTCATCATATGACCCAGCAATTCCACTCCTAGGTACTCGAGAAAATGAAGACATACATCCGTGCAAAACCTTGCACATGAATGCTTATGGTAGCACTGTTCATAATAACTAACAAGTGAGAAACAATCTGAATCTGGGGAAAGAACCAACAACATGTGGTATAATCATATAATGGAGCATTATTTTGCAATAAAAAGAAATAAAGTATTGCTATATGCTTCAACATGGATAAACCTCGAAAATACTGTGCTAAGTGAAAGAAGCCAAAGAGGCCACACACTTAAGGTTCCATTTATATTTAACTGTCCAAAACAGGCAAATCCATGGAGACACAAAGTAGATGAGGGGCTGCCAGTGCCTGGGGGAGTGACCTCTCTTGGGTACAGGGTTTCTTTTTGGAACAAAGAAGATATTCCAAATTTATATTGATGATGATCATACAACTCTGAGGACATACTAAAACTCACGGGACTGTATATTGTAAAAGGATGATTTTGATGCTAGATGAATAGTAAAGCCATTATAAAAGAAACACTAGGGATTTGTTGTCTGGTACACAGAGATGTGTGCTGGTAGCAAAAGAGGGAAAACAACTCCAAGAGTGCAGTAGCTGCTGCTGAAGAAACACCAGCAGTTTCTAATTTAGCACTGCCCTATATTTTGCTGGGAGTTTGGTAGCTTTCAATAATGCTATACTAGGAGCCAAAACAGAAATGCCTTTTATATTTTATTATAACAGCTAAACTGGGAAATAAACTCACCAATTGCTTTTTTAAAGAGGAAATGAGCTAAAAACAACTTAGATGTAAATGGAGCTTAAATAAACCTTTGCTCTCAGTAAGATGAATGTGTTCACAAGGGAGGGAGAGTTTGGTAGTAAAAATAGTTGAAAGCGTTAGATTATTTAAAAAAAAAAACATTTTGTTTCCTTTACTGTAGATAGCCAAACATTATTTTTAAAGCATATGGTAAATCTGTTGGATAGTAGAAAGCAATGACATCTTGTTTCCATTTTCTTGTTTCTCCCAGTTCATCTTTTTGTTGTAAATCATTTTCCAATGTGGGAGCATATTAAATTTAAATCAAACTGAGGAGGGAAAAAAGCAAGTCTACCTTCACAAATTCATGTCCCTCGGTATTGCTGTCTCTTACAACCACGCTATGAACATTAATGTGGCCCGAATAGCTCATTTTTAAAAAGATTCTTCAAATGAGTCTATTCTTCTTGGATCTGATTAAATTGGGAGTTGTTTTGGTTTTTTTCTTGAGCAAATAGCTCCTTCTATAGGTCAGGAAACCTACTCACAAAAGGAAACAAAACGTTTATGTAGGGGCAGGTGCTTGGGCAGCAGTTAAGATGCCACTTGGGACACCTGAACCTCACACTGCAGTTCCAGGTGATTCTTGAGTCCCAGCTTCTCAGCTTCCGACCCAGTCTCCTGTGGATGTGTACCCCAGGAGGCAGTGGATGACGACTCAACAACCTAGGCCCCTGCTACCCATGTAGAAACCACACCGAATTCTGGGCTTCTGGCTTTGGCTTGACCCAGCTCTTGCTGTTGCAGGCATTTGGGGAGTGAGTCAATGGATGAAGAACTGTCTCTTTCTCTGCCTCTCTCTGTTTTTCAAATACAATGAAAATAGATAAATAAAAACTTTTAAAAAGCAGGTATACCTAAATCCTTTGATACAGTACTCTGTCAGTGAAGATTACCTTAAAAATGTTATGTAGTTATGATAAACAAATAAAGTTTAGTTGTCTTTGATGAGAAAAGACTGGCAAGCATTTGAGGGATGGAATTAAGTGAGGTTTCTAAAGATTAATAATAATAGTAAACATGTGCAGTGCTTACCCTGCGATCCAGTGTTCAAAATGCTCCAAGAGAGGTGGTGTCCATATGAGGGCACTTCACAAATTCCATGGAAAAAAGGAATTAAAAGATAAGTTTGTAGAAAATACTTGAAATCCACAAGAGTTTTTTCATACTGTGCATTCACACAATTATGTTAATAACAATTCTTCACAACCCCATTAAGATGAGAAAACTGAACAAAGCAAAGTTGAATCATTTATCCAGGCTGAACTCACGGGACTTTGGCATCATGCTTTAAATAATTACTCTGGTGCTGGCGCTGTGGTATACCAGGTAAAGCCGCCACCTGCAGCACCTGCATCTCAAAATGGGTGCCGGTTCAACTCCCAGCTGCTCTGCTTCCAATCTAGCTCTCTGCTAATGTGCCTGGGGAAGATGTGGAAGATGTTTCATGTGCTTGGGTCCCTGCATCCACTGGGGAGACCTGGAAGAAGCTCCTGGGTTCAGTCTGACCCAGCCCTGGTCATTGTGGTCATCTGGGGAGTCACCAACGGACAGAAGCTCTCTCTCTCCTTCTTTCTTTGTGTGACTCTGCCTTCCAAATAAATCTTTTTTTCTTTTGTAATTTTAGAGGCAGAGTTACAGGCAGAGAGAGGGAGAAACAGAGAGGAAGGTCTTTTATCCGCTGGTTCACTCTCCAAATGGCTGTAATGGCCAGAGCTGGGCCAATCCGAAGCCAGAAGCCAGGAGTTTCTTCGGATCTCCCATTCAAGTGAAGGGGCCCAAGTACTTGGGCCATCCTCTGCTGCTTTCCCAGGTGCATCAGCAGAGAGCCGAATCCACAAAAGGGATGCCAGCACTGCAGGTGGAGGCTTAGCCTACTAAATCACAGCATCAGCCCCTAGATAAATCATTTTCTTAAAAAAAGAATTTTTTCTGTGAATATCAAGAGCTCAGATGAAAACACTAACAGCCAATAGATCCTTTCTACCTCTGTTCAGCCATTGCCTGGGTAAAACACGAAGTACTGAAGCTGGCACTGGGGTGAAACAGGTCAAGCTGCCACCTGCCTCCCATACTGGACTGCCTAGATTAGAGCTGTGGAGGATGGCCCAAGTGTGTGGTTCCCTACCCACCCACATGGGAGATCTGGAAGAAGCTCCTGGCTCCTGGCTTCAGCCTGGCCCAGCCCCAGCTGTTGTAGCCATCTGAGGAGTGAACCAGTGGATGGAAGATCTCTGCCTCTCCCTGTCTCTGTAACTCTGCCTTTCAAATAAATAATAACAATAATAAAAACACACAAAATGCCTCCTTCTGACATAGGAAGCATGTAAACCTACTGTAAAGTTCTTCTACAAGAAATTGTGTGGCTGGTTTCTATTTTTGAGCCCTGTTTGATCTATGACAATCCCCTCCCCAATTTAATAACTTATTTTAAGATTCAAAGCATCTTTTCAATCTAAAGTATACCTTGGGGGGGGTGCAACACTGTGGTGCAGTGGTTTAAGTCACCACCCGCAATGCTGGCATCCCATTTTGGCACTGGTTCATGTCCTGGATGCTCCACTTCTCATCCAGTTTTTGGCTAATGCTCCTGGGCAAGCAGTGTAGGATGGCCCAAATGTCTGGTCCTCTGCACTCATTGCTCCTGGCTACTGGCTTCACGCTGGCCCCACCCTGGCTGATGCAGCCGTCTAGAGAGTAAACCAGCAGATGAAAGCTCTCTTTCAGATTAAAAAACAACAACAACAACAACAAATCTTTAATAAATAAAGTACACTGAGACAGCTGTCTGGTGCAGCGGTTAAGACCGGCTGCTTGGGACACCCATGTTCCTTATCAGAATGCCTAGGTTCCAGTGCCAGTTCTGCTTGATTCTAGCTTCCTGCCAATACACAGCATGGGAGGCAGCAAGTGATGGTTAAAGGTCTCTGCCACTCTTTTTCTTTCTTTCTTTCTTTTTTTTTTTAAGATTTATTTATTTGAAAGGCAGAGTTACAGAGGCAGAGACTGAGAGAAAGAGAAAGGTATTCCACCACTGGTTCACTTCCCAAATGGCTCCAACGGCCGGAGCTGAGCTGATCCAAAGTCAGGAGCTTGGAGCTTCTTCCAGGTCTCCCATGTGGGTGCAGGGGTCCAAGGACTCAGGCTATCTTGTACTGCTATCCCAGGCAGCCAAGGCAGAGAACAGGATCAGAAAAAAAGCGGCCAGGACTCGAACCATTGCCCATTTGGGATGCCGGTGCTACAGGCAGAGGCTTTACCCACTAAGCCACAGTGTCAGCCCCTAAAAATGCTTTTAAGTAAAAGTACATGGCTTTAGGGTTAAGTGTAAAAATGTTTTGAAATGATGTCTTAAAAATACATTGATTTTTTATTTCCAGAAGGTTAACCACTAAGCCACATAACAGAAATAAATTTCACATAAGAAATATATCTACCTTGATACTTTGCATGGATTTTTCAATTAAAAAACATATTCTGTAAGATTATAATCAATCTCATACAACTAATTACTTTGGAACAATTCCCAAAAGACATTTTTATTTTGGGAGAGACACAAAAATTGTCTCCCTAAATTCCCATATACATTTCTGAGCCCATAAAATTTCTGACTGATCTTATTTAAGACATCAACTCCAAAACCAAAGTGTTCTATGAGATATTTCTTCTAAGACTTATTTTGAAAGTCAGAGTTACAGAGAGGGAGAAACAGAGAAAGAGGTATTCCATCTGTTTGTTCACTCCTCAACTGGTTACAACAGCCAGCCCTGGGCCAGGCTGAAGCCACTTCATCAGGGTCTCCCACAGGGGTGCAGGCGCCCAAGCACTTGGGCCATCTGCTGCTTTTCCCAGACCATTAGCAGGGAGCTGAATCAGAAGTGGAGCAGCCTGGACCTGAACTGGCACCCATAAGGGACGCCAGCATTGCATGCAGCGGCTCTACCCACTACACCACAGTGCCAGCCCCATGACACATTTCCTTATAACATTCATTTAAAATATGTCCATACTGCATAAACTTCAGGTGACTGACAGTGGGTGACAGAAATTCTGTGTTGAGAAGGAATCTGAGGCGGGGTCCAGCCAGGCTCAACAACAGTGACTGTGGTATCAGTTGTCAGTATTTACCATAGGAATGGACAGGTAGGGTGGTAGCACGAGTGTCATACATTTACCATGTCAGAATTTGAGGAAACAGTTTCTATAAACTAAAAAAGATTAATTTCTACCATCGTGGAAATCAGAGTAACGGGAATATAAATCTGCCAAGTCAGTAAAGTTAATTTTTAATAAAAATATTATTTTATTGCCTACCAAAATGAAAAACAAATGCTCCAAACTATTGAAAATGTTTAGCAAATAAAGCCCTGAAGCATCAGCAGTGTCATACTCAGGTGAAAAAGGAAGGAAGCAAAAATTTGTGGTTGAAGGAAGCCAAGTCTGGGACTACATAAAAAGAAAGACAAACTACAAAGCAGGAGGATAGGGGGGGAAACATTCTATGAGGAAAGGGAGTTATGTACAAAAGAAAAGAGATAGTAAGGTTTTCCTGATTTGGGTTAAATAGTTCAAATAAAAATAACCCAAAGCTTGTAAATAAGAGGAATTCAGAATGTCTCTAAAGGAATTACCTGACTATGCAGGGGTGTGCATTTTCATTTCACTTTCTACTGATCAGGCTCTTTCCCAACTTCATAGGGATGTGGTTACCTGTGAAGCAAACTGGTAACAGGCCAGTGGTTGTGCAGTGAGTTAAGCTGCCATCTGTGATGCCAGCATCCCACTTCAGAGCGCTGGTTCGAGTCTCAGCTGCTCTGCTCCTGATCTAGCTCCTTGTTAATGCTCTGGACAGCAGTGGAAGGTGGTCCAAGTTTTGGGCCTCTACACCCGCGTGGAAGACCTGGATGAAGCTCCTGGCTCCTGGATTCAGATCAGCCCAGCTCTGGCCACTGAGGCCATTTGGGGAGTGAATCAGTGGATGGAAGATCTCTCTCTCTCTCTCTCTCTCTCTCTCTGCCTCTCTATAGCTCTTCCTTTCAAATAAATAATTTTTTAAAGATTTATTTGAAAGGCAGAGGCAGAGAGATAGAGAGGTCTTCCATCCACTGGTTCATTCCCCAAATGGCTGCAATGCCCAGAGCTGGGCTGATCTGAATCCAGGAGCCAGGAGCTTCTTCCAGGTCTCCTGTGTAGGTGCAGGGATCCATGGCAGAGAGCTGGATCAGAACTGAAGCAGCCAGGACTTGAACCGGCGCCCATATGGAATGCTGGCACTGCAGGCAGCTGCTTTACCCACTATGTCACAGTGCCGGCCCCAATAAATAATTGTTAAAAAATGTTTTTAAAAGCTGGCAGCAAAGGCTGGCGCCGCGGCTCACTAGGCTAATCCTCCACCTGCGGCGCCGGCACCCCGGGTTCTAGTCCCAGTTGGGGCGCCAGTTCTGTCCCAGTTGCTCCTCTTCTAGTCCAGTTCTCTGCTGTGGCCCAGGAAGGCAGTAGAGGATGGCCCAAGTGCTTGGGCCCTGTACCCGCATGGGAGACCAGGAGGAAGCACCTGGCTCTTGGCTTCGGATCGGCGCAGCACGCCAGCTGCAGCAGCCATCTGGTGGGTGAACCAACAGAAAAGGAAGACCTTTCTCTCTGTCTCTCACTGTTTAACTCTGCATGTCAAAAAACAAAAACAAAAACAAAACAAAACAAAAAAAAACACAGCTGGCAGCAATGCAAATAATTATTTTCAATAAGGAGCACTACAAATGATTCCTGTCCTTAGAAATACAAACAGAGGGGACCAGAGCTGGGGCATAGCGAGTTAAGCTGCTGCCCAATGTACCAACATCCCATATGTGCCCCAGTCCTGGCTTCTCCACTTCTGATCCAGCTCCCTTCTAACACACCTGGGAAAGAAGCAGAAGACAGCCAAGTGCTTGGTCCTCTGCACCCATGTTGGATATTTGGAAGAAGGTCCTGGCTGTTGCAATCATTTGTGAAGTGAACTAGTGGTTGGAAAATTCTCTCTCTCTGACCCTCCCTCTCTCTGTAACTCTGCTGTTCAAAATAAATAAAATAAATCTAAAAAAAAATAGAAATCTAGTAGAGACTTTTCATCTGGTAGAAAACCTACCTCTAAATATATCTCATGCTTTATAGGAATTTGCATTTATTAGCAAGTTTATTTCAGCATGCCATTGACAGACTATATAAATTCTGTTCCTTAAAGTTTTCTTTTAATCAGTCTTAACACCTTATATGTTCTCTCATGAATGAACTGAAAAAAAAATTGACACATCTCTTACATTTGCAAAGAAGTCATGTTTTTACCTTTTTGAAAATTATACTTTAGTGGCTGGCGCCGTGGTTCACATGCCTAATCCTCCGCCTGCGGTGCTGGCACCCCGGATTCTAGTCCCGGTTGGGGCACCGGTTCTGCCCAGTTGCTCCTCTTCTAGTCCAGCTCTCTGCTGTGGCACGGGAGGGCAGTGGACAGGAAGCAACTGGCTCCTGGCTTCGGATCAGCTAAGCGTGCCAACCATAGCGGCCATTTGGGGGGTGAACCAACAGAAGGAAAACCTTTCTCTCTGTTTCTCTCTCTCACTGTCTAACTCTGCCTGTCAAACAAAAGAAAAGAAAAGAAAAGAAAAGAGAAAAAAAAAGAAAGAAAGAAAGAAAGAAAGAAAGAAAAGAAAAGAAAAGAAAAGAAAAAAGAAAATTATACTTTAGCAAGAGTTTGTGTAAGAAAACAGTGATGAGCTGGATAAATGGATAAAAAGACTTGTAAGGGCCCTGGCAGACTTTGGATTGAGTATGAAAAATAGGCTGGGGCTGGCGCTGTGGCGAAGTGGGTAAAGCCATCGCATGCAGTGCCGGCATCCCATATGGGCGCTGGTTGGACACCTGGCTGCTCCTCTTCCAATCCAGCTCTCTGCTATGGCCTGGGATAGCAGCAGAAAATCGCCCAAGTCCTTGGGCCACTGCACCCACGTGGGAGACCCGGAGGAAGCTCCTGGCTCTTAGCTTTGGATTGGCCCAGCTACGGCCGTTGTGGTCAATTGAGGAGTGAACCAGTGGATGGAGGACCTCTCTCTCTGGCTCTCCCTCTCTCTCTGTGTAACTCTGACTTTCAAATAAATAAATAAATCTTAAAAAAAAAAAAAAAAGAATAGGTAACAGAGGGACAGCAAAGGATTTTGACTATGCAGCTGACAAGCATCTGCCCTCTTCCAGGGCTCTCCTGATCTCTAAGGTTGCACGTGTGCCAGTGTGTAGGACTGCATAGGGATCACCTTTTTCATGGTAATATCTGAAACTGTACATTTCCAAAGTAGCAACTTGCCTGTAAAGGGAGCCTACAGAAGTGGGGAAATCAGTAGAATACAATCACATAGAAACTAGGGAACACAGAGCCCAGCAGGTGGGAATTAATCGTATAGAATTCTACAAAAATGTCAAGCAAAATGAGGTCTGAAAAGCACCCATTCACTCATTTACTCAATAAATATTTATTGGCTACTTAGTGTATGCTAAGAACTGTATTAGCAGTGGGGTGTAGTAATAAACAAAACCAAAATGGTCTCTGTGGACATTCAACACGGTGGAAGACACAGACATTAAGTGACTAATCAAAGAAATAAGTATTTCAAGATTCTAAGGCCAACCAAGACAGAGAAGCCAAGACAAGGCTTATCTGTATTGCTGAATAAACACTCCAGATTAAATACTTGAACACTGACAAGGAAACAAAAGCAGAGTCCAACTTGGAAAAGGGGCCGTGTCAGAGGCAATCTCCCTTGTGTGCATGGGAGTATGGTCTCCTGAGGGTGGGCCCCCAGGGACAAGGTGCTGGCAGCAACATGGGCAGCCACAACTCCCAGAGAAACCTTGTCTGTGTAGACCAGAAACTAAACACATGTGTCCCTGGGGTCCAACAGTTGAAAGGCAGAAATGGCCACTGTTTTCTCCAAGGCCGTGCTTTGGCAACTACAACTCCTAGGGAAACCCCATCTGACCAGTTCTAGGACACAGGCAGGAAACTGAGGAGAATCCAAGAGGAGACCTCTGACTTCTGTATCTGAACATGCGTCCGTCAGGAGCTCATTCTTAAGGTACATACCCACAGAACACCCCCAAAAAAGCAGAGCACAGGCCTTCAGACTGCCATAAAGCACAGCATGAGTCCAAGACTAACCCTGAGGAACACAGAGGTAGAGCAGCCCCAAAACAGCATAGCACAGGCTTTAAAAACTGCCCTGAACTTGGGACCCATGGTGAGCAAGCCAGGAAGCAAGACTGACCTTGAAGTCACAACACAACCAGGATGACAGACTGCTGAAAGCAACAACACAATTCAACACCCTATGGACATTGAACAGGACCAGAGATTCACAAAAGTTAACATTCAGGATGTTTGGAATACAAATTTGCATTATTTAAGAGTCAGGAAAAAAAGAGACTAAAACAAAAAGCCAATCAACTGATGCCAATGCAAAGATGGACACAGATGATGGAACTGCTCAGGAACATTAAAACGACCATTACAAGGGGCAAGCACCACTGGGGAAGCCCACATCCTACACCGGAATGCCTAGATTTGAGTCTCAACCCCACTCCCAATCCCAGCTTCTGGGTAATGGGAACCTAGGAGGCAGCAGGCAGTGACAGCTCAAGCGGCTTGGGCTCCCAGCTCCTGACTTTGGCCTGGTCTGGCTATCACGAGCATTGGCAGGGTGAGTCAGCGGATGGGAGCTTTCTGTCTAACCCACCCCACATCTAACTGGTCACATAGGGTATCAGATTTTTTTTGCTATGCAACAAACTACATCAAAATCTAGTGGTTTAACAGATTTTTTAAAAAATATTTCTTGCAGTTCTCTATGTTCACAGGCTGAGTCCTTTGGTCTGAACCATCTGTTGGATCTGGGTGGTCCCAGAGAGCCTCTTCATGTTTGGGGCCCCAGCTGAGAAGGCTGAAGTGCCTGGGGCAGGCGGAACCTCTATGAGGTTCCTCACCTTCAAGGCCAGCCTTGATTTCATCACATAGCGGTAGAAAGGTTGTCAGAACAAAGAATGTAAACCCCAATGTGCAAGAATTTGTTAAGCCTCTACTAACATTACAACTGCTGTTATCACAATGGCGGAAGCAAGTCCTGTAAACTAGTCTGGGCAGGCAGTACTTAAAGAGTATGGATACAGGTGGGTGGGGACATTGATGTGGGTGGTGGGGAGGGAGGCAGGACTGCAGCCACATATTACACTTAATCCTCTCCAGTCTCCTTTCTCTGGAGTCTCACTTCACCAACAAGCTCAAGACCTTCTTATCTCATATCTGAACTACTTAACAACAGTCTCCCAGTTGAGTTTGTATTGCTATAACCCGTTAGCATGTGAATATTATGAAAAATAGGAATCCAGTCACGTAACTCTGCAACTGAAAACCCAACAGCTGTCCTTTGGCCACAAGAATAAATTATAAAATAAACCTCCAAGTGAGGTCCAAAATCTTTCATTTTCGAGCCCCTACGTAGCTGTCTTCTCTCTTACTAATCCTCTGTATGCACCCTACTCCTCCAGACACATAAAATGAAGTCTTCAAGAGGCCATGGTAGTTCAATACCACAGCTTCCCTATGTTGTCCGGATCTAAATGTTCTGTTAGTATTCGTGTGCTGGCAAATTTCATTTTACTCTTCTGGATTCATTTCAAATGCCACAAAATTAATGAAGTGTTTCTTGTTTAACAAAGTTAAACACTCCCACTCCTTGCTTCCATTTCATCTCATACCACCTTCAATTACAGTGTTAACTCCAATATCATTCTATAATTATTTGTTGCAGACCTAACTACACACTTCCTTGTGTGTGGGGACTAAGCCTTTTTGTGTGTCTCTCCAACATCTAGTGCAGTCCTTGACATTCAGTATGGAGCAAATTCCTCTTGAATTAATTAAAATTAATTTCATCAAACGTTACTTTTTAGTCAAGTTGTTGAGTGAAATGCAGTTCCAAATGCACTAATAAACTTTTAATATGCACTGGTGCACTTTCAGTGTTACACATGCATTAGAAAGAGAATTCAGACGTTACATCAGGTATATTAAAGTTGCAAATGTACCGAACAAACCAAAACTATCAACGTAATGAGAACATACTGGCGCTCCACTGCGGCTGTCAGCTGGATGATGTGAGACCGAGTCTTTTTGCGCTGTTTCCTAAACACTCACACATTTTTAAGTTTAAAACACGAGCCCCACAGTGTAGCTGGAATGGTAAAGCCTCCTTGGAAAACCCACTACAGTCCAGAGCCAGGTTCTGTCTTACTGACCCAGAAAATTAATTCATTTGTCACGAAGCCTCAGTTAAGCTCAAATTAATCCCCACCACCACCAGTCAGGATCTTCACCGGTGAGAAGCAAATCGAATACTGGTTTTGGATTAAAAATATGATCTCCTAATTCTCTCCCAGGGTAAGGATGAGGTGGTGTGACTTCAGAACAGGCTCTCGGGGGGGGGGGGGGGGGACCTGAAGGGAAGCGGGGGATTCAGCTCGACCCCCGGCGCCGAGGCCACACAGCCCCCGCCGGCAGCGCCGGCAGGGCCCAGGGCTCCGCGTGCCTGCGCGGGACACGCACGGAACGCACTGAGTATCAACGAAGATACGGGGTAGGGCGCGGGTCAAATGATGCAGCGCTTTTTTCCTTTAACTTTTTCTTCAAAACCCTTTCACAACAGTTTGAGTCGAATAGAATTCCTCCGAAATCCGACGACTCACCCCCGCCCCCCGCCCCCGAAGCCGCCACGCGCACGACGGGCATTTCCCGCACCTAACTTCGCAGCCAGCCCTGGGCACCCGGTCGCCTTCTCGACCTCGGGTTTCGGCCGCGCCTCGTCCCCACTGCGCACCCTCGCGAAGGGAACAAAACCCCAGGCGGCTGCGAGCTCCGCCCTTCCGGGGACGCGCCAACTCCGGCCTGCGTGGCTCTAGCTCCGCGGGGGCCCTCAGGACGCCTCGGGGCTGGGGCTGGCCAGGCCTCAGGCCCCGCCTCCGGGGGGCGGGCTCCGCTGTCCACAATTTAACCTGCAAACGGGCCGCGCCTCGGCGCTGCGGGGCGGATGACACACAGACACGCTCACACACCCTACTGACGGCGGCTCAGAGCGTAGCGTCTGAGGTGCGGCCCTTCCGCTCCGCCGCCAACAGTCCCCGCGGGCGCGGGCCCTTCCCTGTGCGCGGCGCGGCGCGGGGGCGGGGCGGGCTCGCGGACGTCCGGGGAGCGCGCGCGCGCCGCCTCGAGGCCGCCCCGCAGCTGCCGGCCGTGGAGTTCGAAGCTGATGGCTTTCGCCCAGCGGCGCGAGGCGCTGTGTGCCGCTGTTGCTGCTGTCGCCATAGAGGCCTGCGGCCGCTCCTGGTCATGAAAGGTCAGGCCCGGGGGAGGCGGGCGGCGGAGGCAGCAGCGGGGGTCGCCGGGGACAGCCACCGCGGCGCCAGAGGCCCGGACGTGGGTGGGAGCTCTGCCCTCGGGGACTCTGGGAAGTTTTAATTTTACTTCCTCCCCTTTTTCGTCTGCTTTCTGGGCTGTGCGTGGAGGGCAGGAGAGGGCCGAGTTTTTGTTTGTGGGGAGAGACTGAAACTGTCGTGTGCGGTGTCGCCGTGCGGAGGTTTGAGGAAACGACACCCCCCTGGCGTCGGGGCCTCGGCCGCACACGGGCACTGTAGCGCTGCGCAGACGTAGGCAGAGCGGGCGTGGGACAGCGGCGGGGCGCGACTACACGGCGACCCCCAAGGTTTCCCTTTTTTAAAGTTACTTAGGTAATACACTTGGTGCCGTCATCAATGATTGGAAACTTCACTGGCTTTGAGAACGCTGTTTCAGCGTGGAACGGCATTTGTAGGTCACCTAAGTGACATGTTATTAATTTATGATACTGGATATTAAAATTTTTCTGCCTACCACTGAAACAGACTCATTCTTCCTTGTGTAAATTCTGGTGTTGAATCTTCATCAGTGGTCAAACTGGACAGAGTAAGTGTATGGTAGTAGTGTTCACTGGGCACTACTGGGCACCCACACCTCAGCGATGGTGCGGATGCCTTCTCATGAGGAAAGTGGTCGCATCTGAAGCTCAACTTTCTTTGGGTGGCAAATATTCCCTCAAAGCTCATTTGCGTAGGGCAGCAGGGAACAATCTAGTAATGGTGGAAGATTACCCGAAAATTCATCTGCAGTGATTATCGGCCGCTCCTGTAGTGAATAAAGGCTGCCTACCGAGCGATACACGGCCTTTATTTCACTGCTCACTTGGACTATGCTCTGCTCTTTTTCAGGAGCCAGAGCTCTGAAGCAAAGAAATCTGGATCACAGACCATTCAGTGGTCATGCAAGCCAATTATAACCAACTGCACAGTCCGCTAGGAACTGCAGGTGGTGAGGATGCCTCAGCCTCCCAGTGCATCCATACAAGATTGACAGGCGAAGGTTCTTGTCTTCATTCTGGAGATGTTCATATCCAGATGAACTCCATACCTAAAGAATGTGCTGGAAATCCAAGCTCCAGAAACGCAAGATCAGGTACCCATAGCTGTACCCATGGCTGTGTACATGGTCGCTTCCGGAGTCACTCACACAGTGAAGCAAGACAGCCTGAGGATCCTGCCATGGAATCTGGAGAACAGGGAAGTAGCTCCTTCTCAGAATTCCGCTATCTCTTCAAGTGGTTGCAAAAAAGTCTTCCGTATATTTTGATTCTGGGTATAAAACTTGTTATGCAGCATATAACAGGTAGGGCATAATAAAATACTTTTTTAATGGTGAATTTCAGTTAATTTTATTTATTGGCAATCTGCTTTAACCTGTGCATTTCAGTTACTTATTTTCTGTTTTTAAAATCGTGTATGTTTTCTTTTAATTCATGTCACTGCTAGCTTACAGATATATTTTTTCCTTTCAATTAACTGGAGCTTATTTTGTAACAGGGATTTCTCTTGGAATTGGGCTGCTAACAACTTTTATGTATGCAAACAAAAGCATTGTAAATCAGGTTTTTCTAAGAGTAAGTATAACAAGCAACTAAATTAACTTTCTTTCTATAGAATTAGAGAAATAATTTTGACACAAATAGGAAATAACTTATGTAAGAAGTAGGATGTCTCAAAATCCATGTTATATTAAAATTTGTCATCTAAAATATACCTATTCATTACCTGTTATAATGCTGAGTTGCTTCACCTTATTTTCTTTGTATGTTTGATTACTGATAAAGCAGATAGAAAGATTAAAGAGTTTAGAACAAACTTTTTGACCTGGTTTGGCAAGTGCGTTCATGGTGTTTGAGTTAATCTGAACATACTAAGTCATTATTAAAAATTCTTAATTGTTGCACTGTATAAGATTTAAAATATATCATTGAACAAATGGTTATCAAACTATTTATTAAAGAAAACTAAAGGATTTTTCCATGACATAAATTATAGGAGTGCCAGTCATAAAAATCAGTGGGAAAAACTGGGAGAGGATAGAATTCCACCTCTAGCGACTTATAAGGGCTGTGTCTACATAAAGATCATGCATTCTGACTTGAAAATGGAAAATTCAAATTAATCATTTAAAACTACTTCAGGTTGATTGTCCCTTATCTGAAACTTTCGGGACCAGAAATGTTTCAGCTTTTAAATTTTTTCCTACTTGCATATACATAATGAATACCTTGGGGATGACACCCAAGTCTAAACATGAAATTTGTTTCATGTAACCTACATACAGCCTGAAATAATTAAAAAATATATAATATTTTTATGGTACCTGCATTTTGACTGAGACCCATCACACACGATCAGATATGCACTCTCCACTTGTGTCATTGCAGTGCTCAAAAAGTGAATTTTGGAGCATTTCAGGTTTTGGATTATGATGCTCAAACCTGTAAAACTTCTAATTTTACTTTAATTAAAAGGGAGATTAAAAACAAAATACCTGTTGAATAATCTGAACATTTCAGAATTATAAGCCCAGGTTAATATAACAGCATTTTTGAAATTCTGTTTTATGGGAACAAAACAGGAAGCTAGAGGCAGAGTTTGTTCTGGGTGAGTCCTTTATGTCAGCTTACAGATTTTAACTTCTTTGAAACATAGGTAGTGTTACTCATGCAGTGAAGAAACCTGTGTCTGTAAACTTTTGTTTTTAATATAACTGGTCACTAAAGACAGATAAAACAGTATGACTATGATGATGTGCAATTTAACAGATACTCTATTTTTATTTAGAATCTAGAAAATAATCTGAGTTAATGAATCAGCCATTAAAGTAAAAAATATGACATTTAAGACTCTGATATTATTCAAAGTAACAACTTGTAAAATTGTTTATTTTTCAGGAAAGGTCCTCAAAGATTCAGTGTGCTTGGCTACTGGTATTCTTAGCAGGATCTTCTGTTCTTTTATATTATACCTTTCATTCTCAGTCACTTTATTACAGGTAATTAGCAGTTCAAACACACACTTTTTATTCCATAACACTGCATGCATCTTACTTGCAGTTACATACTATACCGTAGCTCAGTTTTTACCTGTCTACTGTCATGATTGAATTTTTAGTGAGTTATTCACATTTGAATCCCCAGTGCCTTGGCACATAGCAGGTGCTTAATACTTACTTTTTGATACCTTACTTTTTTAATGAACATTATTAAGTACCATTTGGTTGTTACTCTTCATATTTGTTTTAAAAAAAGACTCACTAAAAGACAGTAATATTTTGAGATTCAATCATTAACAGCACTTGTCTCTACTGTTGAGGGAATTTTTTTTTCTTAATACTATATACTATTTGTTGAACTCTTTACTTAGTGTGTATCTTATGTAATTTTATGAGTATAAAGTTAACTGAAAATAGATATTTGTAAAAAGTAAGAGTGGGAATAGGAGAGGGAGCGCAGGTGGGAAGTATCACTGTGCTCCTGAATCTGTATATATAAAATACATAAACTTGTATACCTAATAAATCCATTCAAGGATTATTAGGCACGTATCTGTTAGTTTTCATGTCAGGTTGGAGTGTCCTGAATTTTTAAGTAGAGAATTACAAGTCCTATTTTCAGTAGAATTGGGAGATTTAAAGAAATCTGGGGTAGGGACCGGCGCCGCGGCTCACTAGGCTACTCCTCTGCCTTGCGGTGATGGCACACCGGGTTCTAGTCCCGATCGGGGCACCGGATTCTGTCCCGGTTGCCCCTCTTTCAGGCCAGCTCTCTGCTGTGGCCAGGGAGTGCAGTTGAGGATTGGCCAAGTCTTGGGGCCTTCACCCATGGGAGGACAAGATAAGTACCTGGCTCCTGCCATCGAATCAGCGCGGTGCACTGGCCGCAGCGCGGCGGCCATTGGAGGGTGAACCAACGGCAAAAAGGAAGACCTTTCTCTCTCTCTCTCTCACTGTCCACTCTGTCAAAAAAAAAAAAAAAAAAAAGAAATCTGGGATAGGTACACACTGGAGGTTGTCAGTACATTCAGAGATTGAACTGTGTAGGGGATGAGAAGCAGCAGGAATGACCTTTGGCCTTTTAGTCTTGAGTAACTGGATGATGGTGCCATTTTATTGGGCTTGAAAAGATTAGGGAAGGAACTGGTTTAAAGGGGAAAGTCAATTTTGTTTTGAATGTTACATTTGAGCAGCCAAGAATTATTAAAGTGGCTCTAGATATGTCATGAGCTCAGAGTACATTAGGGATATACACATGTTTTAAAAGCATATGGCTGATATTTAAAAATCACAGGACTGGGCAAAACTTAACCAGGGAAACAAATATAGGTGGAAAAGAAGGCCCACTCCAGGATATAACCATAATTAGAGGGGCAGCAGCAAAGGAGACTTAAGAAACCATCAGTGACATAGAACAGCTGGGAGAGTGTGGTATTAGAAGTCTAGAAAGAAAACATGGAAAAAGAGAAGGCACCTTTAGAGCAATATGGAGGGA